AGGGGATAATGGCCCTGTGGAGTTTCCCACTGTGTGTGTAGAGCTCAGAGCTGCCAACTCTCTGTCCTGGAGCTTTGAGGAGACAGTTAGAGCCCCCTGAGCCAGCACCCCAGGAAGGTGGGTGTGTGAAAGGGGCAGAAGCAGCTGGACCTCCTCTCACTAGAGCCAAGTTAATTTGTCTAGCCCAAAGGCTCCTCCCATGGAGCAGTGTCCTGTGGGTCTCCATGCCCCAAGAATGGAGACTGAGTCTGTCGTCCTTCTGGGTCACCTCCCTGACAGACCCATGAGATTGCAGACTGTCATACCACTGGCCAGGTCCCACCCCCAGACATGTTGTGTTGGGCCGTCAAGGTATTCTCAATTTGCATTACTTTCCAATCTTTAAAAATTAGGGGGTTCCACTTAAAAATCTGTGTTTCTGGATTCTCATGAAGAATTGGAAGATATGGCAATACAAGGTCTGCATTCCCACAGTTGGCTGGAGGTGCAGAATCATGGCTGGCGTGGACTGGGCATAGGCTCTGCAGTTCCCCACTGTTCCCACCTCTCCCTGGGGAGCCCCACACTCTGCCATGTGAGCAGTGGAGTTACGTGGCTGGAGGCGTCTGTCCATTCAGATCCTGGCTGCACCTTTCTGAGCAGTGTGGTCTTGGGAAAATTGCTTAATCTCTTGGTGGCTCCATTGCCTCATCTGTACAATGGAGATAATATTACAGCCGACCTCACAGGGCTGATGTGTGGACTAAATGAGATTAGAGTCGTGCATGGTAAGCACTCGATAACTGTTAGCTGTTGTTGTTACTCTACTGTTTCTCTTCATCCAGTCACATTACCTGCTTGGCCTCTATAGCCTTTTGAGTTTAGGCTGAATTAGATTGGGTCTCCGAGGTCAAGGATCTGGTGTCCTCATCTTTTCACTGGCAGCCATCCCGGTGTTTGGCACACAGTAGACGTGCCCGGTGAGCGTGTGTTGAGTGACTGACTGACTGAGTTGGGAGCCTTATAAGAGCAGGAGAGTCAGTATTGTAGAGTGGTTTGTGGCAAGGGCTTGGCTGCTCTCACATCGATGCTCTGCCCTGATTAGTTCTCCAGCTTCTGTGTACCTCAGTTTTCTCATTTTATGGGGATAATAGGTGTCTGCCACACAGGGTGGGAATGGACGGTGTAGGAGACTGTGTAAGGTCACTTGGCTGATTTGGCACAAGTGGTCCTCAGTGAGGTGGTGCTGTAAACCCGGAGATGTTTTACTTTCCACGCTTTTTTCTTCCCTGTGTTGTGTCTCCTTGCTTTCTCCCTGTTTTCCTGAATTTAAAGAGTTTCATTTTGGAGACTCTAGCAGTCAAGATGCTTTCAGTTGCAAGAAATAGAGAGCCCTACTCACCTAGCTTAAGCAGTACAGGGGAGGTACTGCCAGGGGTCAAGGGAAAAGCCCAGAGCGCGGGCAGACAGTGGCTCTCACTTTGTGATTTTCTTGGCTCTGCCATCCTCTAACTGGGCTTCAGCCTTAGGCTAGCACCCCTAGTGGTCACAAGATGTTCATGAAGGCTCAACCTGGATCCTATGCCTGTACCTGAACCAATTATGGGATGATGCTGATTAGCTCAGGACTATTAGGCCCCACCCCCAGAGATGGAACTGTGGTCTTACCTGTGAAATTGCAGGGCTGATAGCCAAGTAGTCAGTGGGAGACACGAAGGTTCTTTCTGAGTTGTGGCAGCTGAAATGTGCCAGTGATGCTTCGGAAGCTGCTGGCTCCTCCCATGAAGGTCAGCAGAGATACCTGGGTTGGGCACCTTGGAACAAGCGGTACACCTTGGATCAGATGTTCATGATGCCAAATACAGGATCAGGGAGGTTGGCATTCGCGACTCAGTAGAGTGGGGAGGTCAGATCAATCTTCTGAAACCAGGGAACAACACTCTCTCTCCTTAAGGGCCGGTGGCCATTCTGTGTGTTTACGTGCATGTGTACATACACGCTCTGGAGGCTGACGTTCCCATGGTCCCTGAGGCTCCTGAGCAGGCATTGATTGCCCCAGGGCTGTGGGCCCTGGAGTGACAGGGTGCAGCCAGGACAACAAGTTGGGGATGAAGACCTCCCTGCACTCCCATAGGGAACCACACTGTGTGAGTGAAGGCAGGCAGGGCTTGCTGAGCGTGGAGAGATGCCTCATGTGAGAACCCCCTGCCGTTAGCTTCTGGAGCCTGGAACTGTAAGAAAGTGTGGACACTGAGGGGCAGGATGGGCTCTGGTTCCGTGCAGGTACTCTGCAGCGGGTGTGCATGTGCCTGTGGTTTTCAGACACAGCTGACTGGGTGGGCTTTGGCGGCAGATATAGGATGTTGGATTGTGTCCTGATTGTGTCACCTTTGGAAGAAGAGAATGAATAAATACATAGCCTTCTCTGCAAGTTCAGCACGCCTTAAGTTTTGGAGATTTTCAGTCTCGCCTGAAAAGAAAAAAGCTCCAGACAAACTGCTCTGCCCTCCATTTGATCCGCAGGCTACCACGAGCAGGTAGAACAGAGACTAGGTAACGCAGCCCGGTGTGAGGTGGGCAGACAGCCCTGATGCTGTAGCAGTTGAGGACGACATTCAGTAATTTACAAATGGTAGGGTTGTCTAGCATGCTGGACATGGTGGGGGGAGAATGGAAAACCTGAGCTTCCCCAGCTTGCGGCCAACTTCAAGGAGTTTATTGAAGAGATGGAGAACCAGGATGCACTAAAAAAAAAAAAAAAAAAAAAA